CAGAAAAAAAAATCATATATATATATATATGGCAGTAATTTCTTCGCATGATCAAAACATAATATAATTAGGTCAAACAAGTTTGATATCTTTGTAGAGACTTTTTAACATTCGCACTTGGGTTTTGAATAATAAGATTAATATTTCTCATATTGTAAGAGTTATTTTTTTATTTGGGTAACAACAATGCTCATTTGATTTCTTGGGACACTATGTACAAGCCTAAGTATTTGGGTGGTATAGAAATCATTAACCTTAGAGCCCAAAATGAAGCTTATCTTCACAAAATGGCACGGAGAATTCTTAATGACCAAGGTGAACTCTGGATTAGGGTCTTGAAAGCTAAATATGGTAGAGGTTAAGATTTAAGAAGGGGTGTTATTTCTAAGTCTTATGATTCTAAATTATGGCGTGATCTTAGTAAGTGCTGGAATCGTTACCTTTCGGGTCTTCGCTGAAAATTGGTGATGGTAATAACATCATATTTTGGCTTGTTAATTGGCTAGGACTGGAGATGAACCTTTGTTCTTTAGGTTAAGCTCTTATTCCAGATTTTGATTTGTATAAAACTATTGCTCAAGCGGATCCTCAAGGGGCTTGGGATATTTCTCATATTCAAGAGTTCGTAAATGATGACATAATTTTTAGTGTTGCGGGCTATCCCATTAAGTTAGCAGAAAATATTGATGACAGATTGGTCTGGTTGAATAACCACACTGCTACTTCATTGGCTAAGGTGGCTTATAGAAATCTGATGAAATTTTCTCATCCCCATAACAACGTCCTTTGCAGAAATATATGGACTTGGAAAGGGCCAGACAGAATAAAAACCATGGTGTGGTTAGCTTTTCTAAATAAACTACCGGTGAGAGGTAGAACTTGCAAACGGAACGGAGGTCCAAACTCGTGTATTAGCTGCCCCAATAGTGAGGAGACATTTCTTCATGTTCTTCGAGATTGCATTCATGCTCAAAGCATTTGGAAAGAATGGTTTGATAACCAGGTGCCTGGAGATTTTTCTAATTTGAATATTCAGGATTGGCTTAAAGGAAATATGAGTAATCTTTGGAACAAGCATGATCATTTAGACTGGCGTGACATTTTTTTCCCTACGTGCTGGTACTTGTGGACATGGCGCAATCAACACATCCATGATGATAACTTTCGAAGGTCACATAAAGGTAAGCATGTTATATCTGATTTTATATCTCTCATGTTTTCAGCTAGGAACAAGTATAAGAGCATTCTTGGACACTCCCCTAATATTCTTTATCCTAGCGAGTGGTCTCTGCCTAGTCCAGGTTGGTTAAAAATCAACACTGATGGTGCATCTTCTGCCATTAGAAAGCATGCTAGTTGCGATGGTCTCATGAGGGATCATAATGAAATTTTTCTAGGTGGCTTCAGTTTTCACATTGGTTTTTGTAATCCCCTAAATGTAGAACTTTGGGGAATCCTTAAAGGGTTGGAGATGACTTGAGGTACCGGTGTTAGAAGAATTGAATTAGAATGTGATATAGTGAATGCTCTCTAGGTGATTCATGGTAGTCATGATGACTCCAGAAATTCTCAGGTTGTGTTCTACATTCAAAAATGGCTTTCAGAGGTCTGGATTGTGAAGTGTTCTCATATAAAAAGAGAAAATAATAGCTATGCTCACTGACTTGCTTCTCATCCTCATGACAGACTTAGCAACTTTAATGTTTTCTATAGCCCTCCACCACAACTTGCGGATCTTCTACAACAGGATATGTCCAACAGGTTCTCTTTAGCTGTAGTTTCTTAGTTTTGTTCTGTTCTAGGATCTGGCCCTTCTTTATTAAAAAATAAATAAAAATAAAGTATACACATGCACTTCGATTCTTTTTGGTTAATTAAATGCATCATCACGCAGAAGCTTAAAAAAAAACAAAAAAAAAACAAGGGGACATTTGTTTGGTTTTAACAAATTTAATTTATATGTGTGGTATTTAACTTTAGAACTACCTAAAACGTTAACATATTTTGATGCATATTTGCTTTGCAGTCTGACGATCGATGACCGAATGAACAAAAAGAAGATTTTTATGGACTAACTTGTATCTAAGATAAACTTAGTAATATTTTTTTCTAGCTTAATAAATTTTATTTAAATCTTATTACATAAATTAAATTTATTTTTTATTAATGTGATTTACATAATAATAATAATAATAATAATAATAATAATAATAATAATAGGAGGTTATATTTACAATTTCTTTTCGCATATAAATCTCTTACAACTAAATATTAACGGTTGATTTCTGCTAAGCTGACAATTATAATTTATCAGGTCACACTTATTAATTAATTATTAATTTTTAATAAATTATAACCATTCCTTTAACAATAATAATAATAATAATAAGTATGTAAAAAATATTACTTGCCTTTCTCTTCGTGTAATAATTATTGAATTTAATGTTTCTCGTGTTATAAGAAATAAATTTATTTTTTACTCATATATATATAAAAATATATAGAATTTATTTGGGGTTATATGAGAAGAAAAAGAAAGAAAAAAATATAAACTTCTATATATTTTTATGTGTATGAAAAAATATATTTATTTATTTTTTCATTTATTTATTATAATATAAAAAATATTAAATGTATAGTTATCAATCTATAGCAATTTGTGGACATCAAATTTCACATGAAAAAACGAGCAACGACTGCGTCATTCTTTTAACTTTTGCAGCGAATTTCATGGTGGAAACCCATGGCCATGACAATTGGATGAGTATCAATTCTATCAATTAGATTGTTAAACTATCCATCAAATAAATAGTGAATTACTAAACACGCGATTAAGAAGGTTTAATTGTGCTGAGCTACAATACTACATCATCCAACCATCTTGAAAGTCACCAACATGGCAGCATCTACTGACAATTGACTTTAATCATATTTGCAAAAAAATAAAATAAAGAGATATAAAGTATGGACACACACACATCCCAAAATTTCGGATAATTACATTGATTTATACTCTCTTTTTTTTTTTTTAAATTATACTAGCCTGTCTTACTTTATTATTTTCAATAAAATTTTATATATGATCTATATTCCATATATAAAGTAAAAGAAATATGTATTTATTTTAAATATATATATGTGTTAAGATGTTAAGAATGCATATAAGTCATGCGTCGTCAGTGTATTTGGACTCAGTTTATAAATAATAATATTATATTTACACTTGAAACTCTATACTTGGGTTACACTGAAGTTAAGATTGAATTAGTTATTGATTATCAACATATATTTTTTTTGATGGGATAAGATATCGTGACAACAAAATAAAGTTACAACTAATATTATTACCAATCAATTCTATCGTTGGATTGGTTATTTTGATCCGACAGCTCAGATTTGATCTTTATATAGCTTTTCTATTCCCTTCTCTATCTTCCCTTCTCTCTACCGCCGCCGCCGTTAATCTCTGAGTTTTGCGCCTCTGTTTCTACGGTCGGACAGTTTTGCGCCTCTCTCTCCCCCATTCAGTTTTTAATTCAATTTTTGTGTGTCGCAATTTATAGAGATTTTATGAACATTGCAAATGGGCAATACTAGCAGCATCTTAGGAAGCAGAAAAAAGATCATCAATGGTTAGGGCCTTCATTCAGGAATCAGTACTGCGATATAAAGCATTATAATGGCTTTTGGATCATTTAGATCAGGAAGAAAATTGGATTAATATGCAGCTAAAAATGTATTTGTTGTAGAGTGCGATTTGTTTTTGTGATCTGGTAGTTTTCTGATCAGAAGTTGTAATTGGGACAGGAGAGGCAGAGTAGGAAAATAGGTATGATAATATGGAAAATCCAAACTGTGGGTTTCGCAAGAGTATTGAAACTGTCCGGCCGTAGAAAGAGAGGCGCAAAACTCAGGCGGTGGTAGAGAGAAGGGAAGAGAGAGAAGGGAAGAGAGACGCTATATAAGGATCAAATCTGAGCCGTCGGATCAAAATAACCAATCCAACGGTAGCATTGATCGGTAGTAATATTGATTGTAACTTTATTTGGTTGTCACAATATCCTATCCCTTTCTTGATATATCAACTCTTATTGTAAATTGTTAAAAAAAATACATTGTTCGTCTATTAAATATAAGATAAATATTGATAATTAATAATAAACTTATCAATAATTAGGTATAAACTAAGGATGGATTTTTAAATGTAGATATAAACATCACTATATCATTAAAATTGTCCTATACAGTTCAGTAAATTAAAAGAAAATGACAGGCCAGTCTATAAATCTATAGGCAAGCTCAAATAAATATTAATTAACAATTTAAAAAGTATTGTTAAAAGGAAAAATATAAAAAATATTTAAAATTATAAGATATATATATAAATATATATATATATATAATTGACGTAAAAAATAAAAAATATAGATTAAAATATATAAAAAATTAAAAAATATTCACAATCAATTTAGAAAAAATTTAATTAAAATTTAAAAGAAGAGAAGTTAAGAATTACATTTGTAATTCTTCAAGAGATAATAGAATAAAATATGAAATCACTTTCAATACAGAATACTTAAATTTAATATATAAGCGTAAAGCAAGTATATTAGTTTTTGAAAATAAATAACTAATTTTTTATACATTCTGAAAGTACTTATTTCACTAAAAACAGAACACATAATCCATATAATGATACATATTAGATAATATGTAAAATATTATCCAATAAAACTCGGAATCACCTTTACTTTCAGGCTTTCAGCCCGAGCCGAGTTCAATTAAATTTGACTCAGTTTGATAACGTTGAACTAAGGCGAGCCTAATCATACAAGGCTTCCAAATTACTGCAAATGGGCCATACGCATTGGACCTTATGCTCATACTTAGGTTGGGCCTGTGAATTGTGCGACTTAATTTAGCCCATTCCAGCCCTTATAGTTTCTGTCCAATAAAATAAAATAAAATAAAAACCCTTACAGCTTCTAACGGGAAATAATATGGAGTATGGCAGTGCTCACCTTAAAGATGGTGCAGGATTGTCAAAGAATTTTATGGTGTATGACTATGTAGTATGGAGCATTCGTTTATTTAGAAGCTCACAATATAAGATATATAGTGAAGGTCTCTGCACTTGTTTGTTCAAAATTTGCAACTTTATTTGAGAATAATCTACTCTATATAAGCGACTAGGGTTAGTCTAGTGCAGTGGCGTAGCCACATTGTTGCTAGATGGGGCCTGGGCCCCTGCTGATTATTTTAAAAAATTATTATTATATATTCTAAAGTTAAAATTTGGCCCCATCTAAAGTTAAAATTTGGCCCCATCTCTGCTCTCTCTCTAAACTAATAGCCTAATACACTCTGAGTGGAGTTGGAAACCCGTGTCTTCGTATTTGTTTGCTGTTCTCTCAAAATTAGAAACCCTAATGGTATTTGCTCTTAAATTGGTGCTTTTTTATTCTGAAATTTTTCTAGTTTTCCCTGTGATTGATTTTACTTTGTGAAGATATGCTTGTTAGAGTGGAGTGCCTTTGAGTGTTTTGGTCTTTCATGTTTCCTTAAATATTTGAATCGTCTTTATGACTTTATACACTCTCTTTTGATAAATTATGAAATTTTGCAGCATCTCGATGGCTTTTTAGGTAAGTATGCTAGAATTCATGGTAAATTTTTTTTCTAATAGATTTGTGTAATTACGATAAATATTTTGATAATTTGATGTGTCAAATTTTTTGGCCCCAGCTAAAATGAAATCTTGGCTCCGCCACTGGTATAGTGATAAGAGTTTGGGTAGTTGTGTTAGGTAGTATGTGTTTTTTTTGGTTAATAGGTAGTATGTGTTTTAGTCCTTCCTCGTGTCCAAAAATAAAAATAAAAAATCTACTTTATATTTGCCTTCAATAAACGCTTTAGAGAAGCACGTAATTATATAAACGCGTGACAGAATAAACCCAAAACAAAATTCACTATTATATATTAAATTAGAGTAATTTATATATTAAATCAGACTAATTTTTTAAGAGTAATTAGATTTTATATTATTTTTCAAAAAAGACACATGTATTCTTAATTTTCTTTGTTTTCAACTTTAATTCAATATTTTTAAATTAATTATATATTTTTATATGAATTTAAATATTTTAAAATATATTTTTTATATTATATTTAATTAATTATACGATTTTATTTTATACTTTTATATTTTTTTTCTATTTTAACGTATATTTTATATCAATTAAAAAATTATCAATACTTAGTATACTTACTATTATATTTTGAAATTAAAGAAATTTTACTTGAAATAATATATATATATATAATTTTACTTTTTTAGAAAATATAAACTAAAGTTTTCAATATATTGAAAATGATAAATTTTAATTTTAATTACATACTTTTTGAAAATAAAATTAGAGACTATATAAGAAAATGTTCTTTTTGTAGTAAAATAAATAATCTTAAAAATGAAAAAGGAAATTCTAAGAAAAAAATTAGAGAGTTAAAGTTTTCTTATTTAGTCTTAATTTTTTTTCTTCAAATTTCCTTTTCCATTTTGAAGGAATCTTTTTTTCATAGTAATATAATTAAATTTTTAAAAATTTGTAAAGAAAGTCAAATATAAGATTGTATATTAAATTGAAAATTTTATAAATAAAGAAAATAATCCAAATTAAAAAAGTTTCATGCCAAATTAGAAAATTATTTCTATATTAACAGGAAAAAAAACAAAAAATAATAAAGAACACAAGATTCGGTATTTATTTAATTATTATTGCTTAAGCCTCACCAAACACACTCCGGCCAAAATATGGAGGGGAGGAAAAAACACAACCAACTCATTGAACTCATGTCTCTAACATCTCTGTGGTGAATGGTGATAGTGTTTTATATATATACACACCATTTTGGAATTTTCCCATTTTTGTGTTCCTCACTTGAGAATCTATATGAAAAACCACACTTTAGTGTCTTACATCATAGGGCCTATAAAATCTTAGCCTCACTCAGCATGCAAGTTTTGTTAACTTCATTGAGCATCTCAATATAATTCTTCTAATACTTCCTACGTCTTAATTTCTGATCGAGTTATTCACACCACCTTCATTCTCCTCTTCAACCACTCTTGTGTACGTGTCATGTGCGTGTTTAATTTCCTTTTCCATTTCTTTGTTTAGGATTTTGTATCACTTTGCTTTCGATGATTCCGTGTATGTTTGCTTAGAATGCGGCACTGAATTCAACTGTTTTATTTTATTTTTTATTTTTTTAGTTCTTGTCTGTTAATATAGTTAGTTAGTTGAGTTTGTTTATTTCCCGCCTTTTTATCTTTCTCTTTTCAATGTACAGTATCTGATATAAATATCAGATCAAGATGTGTATTCTTCATTAATTCAAGAAATCTTTTCCAAGAAATTAAATATTACGTACTTATATATTTGTATAGCTTCTTGAACTCCTTTATTTTGAGACAAATCTTGCTAATTCTCTCACTTAATTTCTTTGTTCATAAGCAGATTCTGTGGAGGGGCGTGATTTTGTGGTGGAGGGTGGGTGAGCCATGCTTAGTGGTTTTATTCCAAATGGTCTCTTGTCTAATAAAGGAACCTTCGTTTCTAAGGTGCTTGACCAAGATAGATGGTCACGAGCAGAAGCTAGAGCTGCAGAGCTACTTACATATATTCAGCCCAACCCAACATCAGATCAACGTCGAAGTGCTATTTTATCTTACTTACAACGCCTGATAATGAAGTGTATCCCTTGCAAGGTGTCAAAACTCTCCATCGAATATTTCCTTGTTAATTAATTGTTTCAGTTTGAATGTTACATTTATTATTATTCTTTTATATAAATTCCCATATATGGTTCGTTATTGTTGTTATCAAATAATTTATGGTTCTTTATTATGTTCGTGCAGCTATAGTACTAGTTAATTAGTTGGTTTTTATATTTTGGGGCATACTTCCTTCCTAGTGAAAGTCCATTATGAAATAAGATAATTGTGGATTGAAATTGTTAGAATATTTAAGTGTAATGAAATTTTGCATTAGTTGTGAATGAGCTATAGGAGGACTCATAAATCCAATGCCTTAAAGGTTTTGGATTGAGATATAGTATTAGACCCATTTGCTACAATTATGCTTACTTTGGTGTGGTAATTTCTTGCCATGGGCTCAGTCTGACAGTAGTTAAACTTTATTCCCAATTTTTGCCCCTTTATATTAATACCAAAACTATTGTTTTTTTTTTTTTATTAAAGTAGAATTCATTTTTTTTATAATTTTATCTTATCTGAATTAAAAAAAAAATGAAAAATATTTTTCTTAATAAAAATGATTTGGTTAAAAAAATATTTTCTTGCCTTTGATTCCTAGTTTTTTCCTTTTATATCAATACAAAAGCTATTGTGTTTTTTTGGTTAAAATTCTTTCTTTTTCTAATTTTATCTTATCTAAATTAAAAAAATTTGAAAAATAATTTTCTTAACAAAAAGGATTTGGTTAAAAAATATTTTTCTAAATAAAAAACAAATTTGGTTAAAAAGGATTTTTCTAATTAAAAGCAGATTTGGTTACTTACAATAGAAAATTAAAACTGATTTCAAGTCAATCCAGAGGAGAGGAATCAAAATCTCCCTTTCATTAAATTTATGATATCCTCATTCAATCCTTATTCTTCCAATATTTGAATTCTTCAAACAAATCACATATTAAATCCTGCAGTAACCTTAAACAAAAAAACTCAAACATTGTTAAAAAAAAACATAATTTAATAGTGGTAGGAGTTGAGTAGGTGTTCAAATTTTTTCATAAGCCTATATGTAGGAGGGAATAGCTTGCAATATCAATTTGTGTCAGAACATTCATATTCGACATTAAAAACATGAACATGAATAATCTTGTGAAATCATATTTTTTCTTCTTTTTTAATTTCTTTTTAAATCTATCTTATTTCTTGAGCAGTGTATCACTTGTTTGTTATCATCAAAATTAGATAAGGTGTAGGACCCAACAAATTCTCCTTTTTTTGATGATGATAAATAATTGCTGCAAGTAAATGAAAAGCATCTCTTTAAAACACTAAAAGTAGGGATGACAATCCGGGTGGATACGACACGACACGAATTCAACATGAACACAAATATACTCAACATGAACATGGCAAGAAATTGATCACGCTAAAACCTTTGAATAATCCTCAAACTCATAATGTGTCGCTTATTGTGCAATTAACAATACACAATACGACACGAATAACCTGTCAACCCCAAATTGTGTCTTATTATGCAGATCAACACGACACAATATGATAAGATAGAAATAACTTATTTACGACACGACATGATAGAAATAACTTGTAAGAAAATTAACGCAGGTCAATTTTGGGTTCACGAGTTGGCATAAGACATGACACGGATTTTTTGAATTTAATTTTTGCTAAGTTTATCGGGAGTATATCAATATGGGATTTCACACTTGAAGAGAGTTTATCGGGATATTCAAGTGTAATTGAATACCACATTGGTTGTTACTTAATGGGTTAAGTGAAGTCCACAAGTGAGAAAATTTATTAACCTAATGCCTTAAAGTTTTGGGTCAAGACATGACCAAACCAGAAATCTTAGGCCTCTCTAATTGAATTTTGACTTTATATATTCAATTTGTTTTAATCTTATATATTCTAAGGCCAGTCTTGTAGCTGCAGCAATTACATCCTCTTTATATTTATCTAAGAGTAAAATTGCATACAATTGACTTTGACCTCTATCCTTGCAAGAAGAGAGAGCCTATACACAACCGGGTTTGCCCATTAATTTTACATATCCTATCCGTCAAGCAGTTTGGAAATTATTTTTGCACCTTTCCACACGTGGCTTGTTCAGAAGCACAAAGTAATTTCTGGAAATATTTGAGTAAGCTTAAATGCAAAAGTTTATGTCAACGTTTCATCAGATTATAACACAGCAATCAAGTAGACTTTGGTGGATGCTGTTAGCACCCAAAAATCTATCTATTAGGCACTTAGTACAATTTCCTAAAGGGGGTGAATTACTGTTACTGAATCATTACCGTTTTGGAAGCTTGTAGCTTACCTTGTATTTGGCCTGTATATGAAATTAGGTTGGGGAATGAGGTCTTGAATGATTTTAGAATATTTTACTAGAGGATTCTCTTAATAAATGTTTTTTTTTAGTTTCAATCATTGGTTTCTAGACTTATATGTCATAGTCCCTCTTCATATAACTTTTCCAACTTCTCAAGTGAGAGGTAAATGTAGATTATCATGTGCCTAGCCTTCTGGGAAGTAGAAGAAAATTAACCTACAAAAATGAAGCTTTATACCGTTTATTAATGCAAGTATATATGATGTGCTTCCTTTGGTAACGCAGCTATTTGTAGTTGGGTCCGTACCACTGAAGACTTATTTACCTGATGGGGATATTGATCTAACAGCATTCGGTGACAATCAAATTTTGACAGACAGTTTGGTCCAAGAGATAGTGCATATTTTAGAAAGAGAAGAGAAGAATGAGGATGCTGAATTTCTTGTGAAAGAGGTTCAGTATATCCCGGCAGAGGTATGTGTTTCACGGTTCTCCAATGCATTTTCATATTTGACAATAGTGTATACAATGCTCTGACAAACTTAAGAAGGGAAGTTGTGTGATTTCCATTTTCTAGGTTTGACACTGTAACTTTTTGAGTGTTCTGAATGTTGTTAGTGGTTTCTAAAATTGATGCAAAATTTATGTGTTTCTTATCATTAAATGCTTGCATGGATACCAAATCCTAGTGTATTTTTTTTTTTTTTATGATGTTTTATACATTTCAATGTTATCCTAACTATTTTGGGATAAATGTGTTGTTAATTATATAAAGGTAATTGAAAAAACCATTTATTTCTACCATCCTGTTTAAATGCTGCTTGATAGTTTTGTCCACATCCTTACCTATATCACGCGTTACTTATTCTTGTTCAATGGCAGGTGAAGATCATAAAGTGCTTAGTGGAAAATATTGTAGTTGACATATCTTTTAATCAGCTTGGTGCTTTATGTACACTATGTTTTCTTGAGGAGGTGATTCATTTTGACTCAAGTTCTGACTGTCATTCATATTTTTTCTTTAATAGACAAATCTAACAAATAGTTTTCTGTTCCAGGTTGACAGTTGGATAAGTCAGAATCACTTATTCAAACGCAGTATTATATTGATAAAAGCTTGGTGTTTCCATGAAAGCCGCATACTGGGTTCTCAGCATGGACTTATTTCAACCTATGCACTGGAAATTTTAGTCTTGTACATATTTCATGTTTACAGTAGTACATTTGCTGGACCACTTGAGGTGACAAACTTGTTTGTTTTGGTCTATATATTACTGTGGCTTATGAAGAAGGAATAAAGGAAAATTTATGTTATTGTGATCCTATTTCTGGTATATCTTTAGGTACTTTATCGATTCCTGGAGTTCTATAGTAAATTTGACTGGAATGAATACTGCGTTAGCTTATGGGGACCAGTGCCCATAAGTTCACTTCCTAATATGAGAGGTATGTGAAAAACAAATTTCTTGTGTTCAACATATCTCTGTCTCGAAGAACATGTTCTCTTCATTGTGGTTGATAACATTTTTTTCTCTCTCCCATTTTCCTGAATTCATAATCATGACAGCTGAGCCTCCACGAAAGGATCGCCAAGAGTTGCTGCTGAATGAAGCGTTTCTTACTGCTTGCCAGTCCTATTATGGAGTTCAGCCAAGCTGCCAAGAAAATGAAGAGCAGCCTTTTGTTTCCAAATACTTCAATATTATAGATCCTTTGCGTGCGAACAATAACTTGGGGCGTAGCATTAGTAAGGGTATTTGACTTTAAACCCAAGCTAAAACAATTATTTTTCCTAAAGATGATGTTTCTATTACAAAAGTAAAGCATATTTATTTGTTCCCTAGATACAGAAGCTGCATGGTGTTTTGTGTCTGCAATATATTCTTAATAGCCATGCCTTATTGTTTATTTTTCCTCTTAAATGGTGTATTTTGACTGATGAATATATTTTCTCCCATAAATGGAAATTTTGATAAAGAATTATTACTACCCATAATTTTAGATTATGATGCACAAAATTACAATGAATCCAAACTACTGCTGATTTCAGATGCCCTTCAAATCCTGTGATTAAATCTGATTTCAAGAATCATATATATGTCTAGAGCTAATACAGGCAAGCCAATTGGATTACTTTTAAGGAGCTTTATTGCACTGATGAGCTTTTTTTTTCCCCCCACGTTTTATTCGAGTGTAATTGTTCAAGAGGATAGCTTATTTTCCCTTTTACTTGTATTTCTTCTTCTATCTAAATAAGTTCTTTGTCTGAATGTCTGGTTATAAATCTACTCTTCAGGTAACTTCTTTAGGATAAGGAGTGCAATTTCTTTTGGTGCTCAGCGGGTAATGAGAATGCTGAATTTCCCAGAAGAGAATCTAATAGCTGAATTTGATTTGTTTTTCAAGAACACATGGGATAGACACGGTAATGGTTACTGGATTGATATACGCATTCATGATCTTTATTTAAGAAATAGTAATGTTGAAAATTCAACATGTCATGAATCTGAGGTTGAGCAGGCTCAAGCTTCTCATGGGTCTCATGATATTCACCAAAAGCCTGCTAACCATTTGAAAGAATCAACACATATGTTTGGAACCTCTGATGCATCTTCTGTTTCTCAAACTTGGAGCTCAAACACTAGTGGCATATTCACTGGTACCATGACCTCTGATATAGAGCAAACAAGTTCCATGAAGAATGCACGTACTGATAAAGGAAAAAGTCCTAAATATTCATCAAATGAAGTTCATGCCATGCATCACTTTGCTAATAGTGAGGTTCCAGCTCAACATTCTGCTTCTTCAATGACTGATAATAGCACAAGATCAAGTTCAATATCTGAAGTTTTAGACAACCACAATGTCAGAGTTTCATCTGAAAATCAACAATCTTTTGGGCAGATTTCATATGATTGGAGAAGTGAAGATGCAGTTGGCTTAGGTAACAATAACGAAAATGGCCATTTTGTTGGTGAGGCAATGCAGAAGCATCAGGAAGAGCAAGATTTTCTGAATATTACAGAAACAAACGGGAGTTCCAATTTCAATGGAAATCTGCAAGCACCAGTGAATGTGAATTCAAGTAATGTATCTTTTCAACCACCACCACCACATGTTTTAGCTTCAGGAGACGGACATGCAAACTCATTTGGTGTGCTTCCTGTAAGTGTTCCTTCTTTTGAGTCCTTTTGGGGCCACACTATGCCTTACTCTCAGGATTTAGTTCCATTTTCTGCATTGCAATGGTTTCCAAGTGTGGGAATGACATTAAATGAGGAAGAAGTTACTGAACCAGTTAATTACAATGTGGTGGTAGCTCATTTAGATGATGAAAAACAAATGGCTGATAATGGTGGTTCCAGTTCTGGTAATTCATCTTGGCAGACTAGCTCTGAAAGTTACTCTGTTGATAACCAAAGTTTATTACCATATGCATTTGGAACACCATTTTCATTTCCTACCATGTTCCCAATCTACAATGTTCCTACTGAGACTGGTTCTACTTCTACAGCCAACAATTGTGTGGACATGGGTGCAGAGCTAGGTAATCTTCATACACGTGAGTCCAGTGTCATATCGGATTCTACTGAGAAATTCCATGTTAGCCATGTCATTTATGATGCAACTTCAGAGTCTTTTGTAAAACAAAGCTCTGATATTTTGGATGGTGATTTTCTAAGCTATTGGCTGAATCTGCAATATGGACGGTTTTGTCAGAATGAACGTATGGCTCATGATCCTCCCCTAGTTATGGATCATGATCCTCACCTAGTTATGGATCATGATCCTCCCCTTGATCCAATTACGCCAGTGGAAAGTGTTTCTGGTTTGCATGTGCCTATTGATCAAAGTGTTGCCTTTTTTCTTCCTAGATCTTGTGATGGCACTGGGGCTTACATTCCAAACCCAATAGCTTACTACCAGGTTAATATCTATACCACCCTTTCAGATATGAATGTGCTATTTGTTGTGATTTTTGCTAGCTCGATCACTGCCACATGAAGGTCTTATCACATGCCTTTCTGTGGTTTGATTCTGTTTAACGAGGGGGAAATGTTGATTGTGAGGTTTTGGTCGGAAAATATTTCATAGAGCATAAAATGGTTTTAATATTTAAATTCCTGCAGAGGTATTACAGGAGACAGCGTGCTAGAAGAAATCAGAGAAGTCACATATATGAAAGGAATGATAATCATGGTCAAAGGGAAGAGAATTGGGATTTTAATCATGGTGATAGAAGTCACCAGTTTTGCGACCAAGTTGAGAAGCCAGGTAAATGGTTATTAGTTCTAGTGAGATTTGTCACTACCCTTTTTCTATCAACTTTTATGGTGTATTCATATGATAGGAGGAAGAAAAAAAAAGAAAGAAAGATAGGTCATGATTATAATAAGTGGCTTGAGCTTGGTTCTCTTGGACCACTTGTCAGGTACAAATGAAGAATCACATCGAGGTGAAGGCTCACATGCTGATTTTAATGAGCTGGCAAATTTTAGAAGAGATTCTGCATAATCTTCTCCACATTGGGTAATGCTTTATTTTATTTCCTTTTTTTTCTCCCAGTATAGTACTTCTAACACCGCTTGGATGAATGGGAGATAAAATGAAATTAATTTTAGAGCCAACAGAAAATCTATTTTCTAGAAGTTCATTGATGTCAGCTGTTTCCTTGGTTAGGTTTTTGCCAGCAATGAACAAAATAATATACCATGTGTTCATAGGTTATGGCCAGCAATTATTGGTTAGGTTCATGAGAATGTGGATTATGACAGATTTATTGCATATCATCAACTAAAATATAGACGATTATATCTTACCATCTTAGAATCTTGTGTGATTATTTATGATTATTTGTTGCATTCAACAGGGTTCTACAAGACTGACTACCTGTCAATAAACAGAGATGCTGATTTCCTGCTTATATTCTGAGTGAAAATTAATTTCCATTTTTTGTTTGTGCCTCCCCTACTATGTTGAAGCTTGGATCATTGACCCTTTTGTACACAGAAAACAGAGTAATAGTTAGAATACTCTATAGATGCCATTTTATGATGGCATGAAGAGGGATTCCAGCAGCCGAGAAGAAAGTATGTATGTATTTACTTCAATTTACCACCCCCAGTGTCTCAGGGCGCCTTTCTTAGTTAGAAAATTACTATTTGGAGTTTACTCCTTTTAAGGTTTTTATTATGTCCTGTAGAATCCTGTTCCTTGTCCGATGTTATAAATGTCTTCATGTAAGCTTCTGTTGTAACGGCCTTTGCAATGTTACTTAGTGTTGTCAGAAGATAACTCTAGATGAGAAATTATTCTTTCTGGAAGCTATTTACAAGCTGGAAATATACAATGTTATCTTACAAACCCAACTACTTAAGGAAATTGAAAACTATCCCACTTCTCCAAATCCATTGTGGGAAGTAAACTATGTGCACTGCAAAACTCTCATGACCTATAACCTTAGTAAAGCCCTGCTTCATGATGAGGTTTTCCTCCATTTTGCCAGCTTGGACAAGAAGATTAGTACTTCCGATGGGTCACGCAAAGAGTACAAAGCATTTGTTTCTCTTTGAATTGAAGTCACTATAATTGGATAACCTTGCCCTCCTCTCTGTATGACCTGCAGAGATTTGACAAAAGCCATATAACTATCAACTCAGTATGTGTGTGTATGTATATACATATTCCCTTCAAAGCAAAGTGATGGAAATATTCTGCTAGAGATATTTTCTTTAGGGTGCGTTTGGTTGAGGAAATTTTTTTAGAATAGTAGGGAAATGAGATAGATAGAGAAATGATTGGAAAGATAGATAAAGTGAGATAGGTAGAAAAATGTAAAAAAAAGTTGTTTGGTGGGAAAAAACTTTACTGAGAAAATTAGGTAACTTTATGAAATCAACAGTGCATTAAAAGCCAGATAACCGGTTTTCCGAAAAATCCCACCTTCAAATTGGGTTTCTAAACAGTGCGGATATCTATGTTTTTCATAAATCCAAACAAATTGGATAGATGGGTTTTTGGTGAAAAACGTTGAAACAAACATGGTGTTTCTAAAAGCCATACTTGAGAAAGATAGATATTCCCTAAAAAGTTCCCAACCAAACACCACCTTATTGCCATACTCATTAAACTCAGTCATACTCAAAGATCCAAGCTCTTAATGTCCCCCTAAAATTACTTTTATTGACAAACCAATAAACCTAATATATGTTGTATGCATGCATACAAATCATCCATGATGGCTTATCATTTTAAAGCAAGCAAGACACAGATTCAACTCTCCTGTTCCCCTGTCTCTCAAATTAAAAGTTAATAACTCGGCATAAAAAATTATCAACTAAGAGAGAAGGTATTACCAATTAAGAAAGAGAGAAAACATAAATTTAGTTTAGCTACTCTGTTGTAATGCATCTAATGATACTCGGTAGAAGTTAAACATGTTGCAGGAAAGAAGAGAGAGAACTAGGGTAAGCCTATACCTTAAAAGCATCTTCATCAGTTCTATCATCGCCAATATACACAGGAAGGATATTGCTGGAACTGCTTAATCCTAGTGTGTCAAGAAAATACTCTACTGCATTACCTTTGTTCCATTCTATAGATGGCCTTATTTCCATAACCTACGAATAAACAGTATTCAGTTTTTTTGTTCTTCACAGAAGACCAAACAAATAGGATTGATTCTGTCACAAACAGGTAGAATTAAAAGTACATATGATCTGGGATACCTTTTTACCCTCAGTTAAGCAAAATTGTGGATTATTTTCAAGCACAGACTTCACTTTCTCTTCCAGAATGCCATAATCCTGCAATTGAACATCATTACCTTTAAATACAGAGCTATTTAAAAAAATAAATAGGAGAATAAACATTGCTTGCTTAATATTGTCAATCAATGAGGAAAAAAGAAATGTAAGAGAGAATGATAAAAAAACATTTGAAATTAAAAGCTACCTTTTCTTGAACATGCCGGAAATGTACAGAGATGCAGAATCTGTTGTCCTCTACCTTTGCACCTTCTATCTCCTTTACTCCATTCTCTAATCTTCTTAATATCTATTTGAACAGACAAGTAAAAAACTCAGTTTCCTTGTAACATTGAAATTTTGAAATGTTGACCACTCTAATTTGCATAACATTTACTATAAATCGAAGTGAATAATTTTATGGCAAATTAAGTGAATTTTCTTACAATAAATATGTTCATTCAATTTGTTGTATACCGGACAGAGAGTAAGTAATAACATTACGCATCGCGTCTAAGGGGAGCCATGGCGGGAGACAATTATTAATGGGCTAAGGCTGCATCAATTATGCAAGTAGTTCCGACACCATGTCTCAACTCAAAACCTTAAGATATTGGGTTGATATGTCCTCCGAGTCCCACTTATATGTACTTTACTTAGCCCATTACCAACTAATATAGGATTTATCATGTAAAATCCCAAAGGCTGCCAGGGAGTGATTGCCAATGCAAAAGAGATGAGGCACAGACAAAGAGAGCGGCTCTTGCCAGGCTTGCAGCTGAGGGGTACATGAATTAATCAAATCAATACCGGAAAGAGATGGATTACAGAGACTGTGCAGGTATGAGACTGTACACATTTGGAGATAACTCATAAGAATTAATTGGTACTACCTATACTAACAAGATGCATCTACTTTTTAACAGCCCATAACTTAAGAACTCCATAGTTAAGTGTGCTTAACTTAGAGGTGTGCAAGTGAGGACAAAGCACGCTGAAAAGTGTCTCGTGTTAGTTTGTGGAGACGGTTATTGATCCTTGAAGCGGCCGGGCGTTACACATCACATTTGAATATTCCAACAATCTCCCCCTCAAGTGTGAACCCATCATTGGTATGCACCCCTCAACTACGAGTAGTATCTGCCTTCTAGTGAAATACCTGGTTAGCTCGAGCCTAACCTGACTCTGATACCACTGTTAGGCGGGTACAAGGGAAGCCCATGGCGGAAAATCACCACCAATGGGCTAAGGCTACATCAACTGTAGCAAGTGGATCTGACACCATGTCACAACCCAAAATCTTAAGGCTTTGGGTTCATGGTCCTCTCACTTATATGAACTTCATTTAGTCCATTACCAACCAATGTGGGACTCGTAACACTTGAAAATCTCAACATTATGCATGAAAGTGATGATGGAAGGAAAGAATTTGAATTTATTAGGCATTTGATTGTATCATTGTATACTTTAACAAATAATTAGGTTTTTTATGTAGATTACTGTACTGGATTTGGAGTTTTAAGTTATTAAGGAAAGACACATCATCACATTGACTTTACTTTTATTTACAAAATATGAGTAATAAAAATATGAACAGTAGATCATATGATCCAAAAGTGTTTAATATTATATCATTCATTAACTAACTTCCACAAAAGTTTAAATTAATTGGTAATGACAATACATGGTTTAACAGTTTCCGAATAAATTTTTACCAGATACTGTATACAATCAATTGGTTCAAGGAATAAAAAAAATAAAAACACTAATACACAATACCAGAAAATGGTCATGTGTAATTTACTGACCTCTCGAACTGCAGGCAAAAACTTCTTCGCAGGTTGAAAGGGAACTTCATTGCCCTAAAAATAAAAAAGATTTACATTAATAATTCAAGCAAGAGAGTTTGACATTTTTTTTTGGATACAAATAGAAATTCAACGCATATAACCTAGTATAACTTATTTAAATCTCACACCACCAAACCAATCTAAGTGATTTAAAAATTTTGACATTTAATATAAGAAAATACATAGGATTGATTTAAAATCGTGCGTATGTGCGGTGAATGTATATTTTTCAATTCACCTGGTGTTATTTGATGGATTATTTTGGGGGGGAAATTATCTCAGTTATTTTTTTTTTAAATTTTTAAATTTTTTATTTTAATTATGTTTTTAAAATTAATTAGCATTATTGAACAATTTATTATTTTGATAATCACAATTAAAAAAAAACAATTATTTTTCAATTCCAATTTTATGTTTATCCCAATTCATATGTATTTGACATTAGTCTCTTGCAATTACAAGAAATTTGTTGTTTTAATAATTCACATACATTTTATAGTTTATATACTATAAAAATTCACATCCGTGATGTTTACTCAAAAAGAAAAACTGCACAAATTATGTGTTAAATTATAAGATGTTTTTTTATTTTTTTACATAAAACCACTTACAATTCAATAGTTATACGCACTCGATGTCTTTAACTCCTTTAGATATAACTGTTTCCTAAACAAATCACATTCTAAAAAAAATTCAAGCACTGACTTACTCACATTTGTTTTAAGGGCAGTGTCACAATCAGAAGATCCATCGGGCATTGATGGTGCCATTATGTCCATGCCATGGCTCCCAGCATAATATAAATTATTTAACTTCACGAAATCTTTAACCTATTTCAAATGGTAAGGAAAAAAAAATAAAAAATTTAAAAATAAAAAATAAAAAAACTTTATAACTCTAACTCAGGTCCCAACTCACCTTATCTCTGCTTCTTCCACTAATTATTGCCGTTGGAAAATAAGTAGCAACTTCACATACTGCTGCACGCATCTGCCATTTACAATATTAAACAGGACATTCACTTCAATAAAAGTTATATACAACAATTACTAAAAAAAAAAGGATGAAATTTATAAACATGCACATTTGTAGTACAGGTGTATATATATAAGAGCATATATTTTTGGGTAGTTTATAGTGAGTGGGATGAACTGATTAATTTATTTACCTCATCAGACATGAAAGCACGATCAGGATCATTTACAATTGGTGATAAGGTGCCATCGTAGTCTAAAAAAAGGACAATCCTCTTTCCAATGGCTTCTTCCATCAATCTATTGAACGAGTGCAATGCGGAAGGATGCCTTACCTGATCATGCAAATAAAATGTCACATAGTATGAGCATGACTCGTTACTGATTATATGCAAATCCAAGCTAGGCATGCACCTCATTATCAACCTTTAATGTTCTATGAAGTATGAATTGTTGTATGGTTCTTTATTTCCATATATATATATATATATATATATATATATATATATATATATATATATATATTTTAATGGTTCTTTATTTCCATATTTTTTTTTTAAAAAAAAATTACTACTTTTATTTTTACAGATGAAATTAGCATTTCTTGTCCACAATCTCTAATAAAACAAGTGGTACAAAAGATGTTACGAGAGGGGACGAGAAAAAACTGCACAAGAAACATTTCTATTTTTTTTTTTTTGGGACTAATGGGATGGCATGTGAAATTTTTGTTCATTTCCTAAGAAAACACTTATTTAAAAATTAAAATATAGTCTATATGTGCTTACTGGGGTGGTGCTTACCATCCATGAATCATAGCCAGAGGTAATGAACTTGGTATTGGTTAGAGTCTGATCAGTCAAGTTCAGTGCCCTTTGAATTAAAGAGTGCTCATGAGCATCGCTTGAGTCCTCATTTGCTTTGAATATAGGCAATGCTATCTTTTTAGTGCTATGTGATGTTTGAAACCCCATTGCTTCCTGTATCTTTGTGAGCTTCTTCTTGATAATCTACATATATATATATATATTTTAAAAAAATGAGATAAATGATTAGTTAGATTACTATTTAAGGAATAAAGGAAAAATGATCATATAAAAACAATTGCAGATTAATTGTAATGTTAATGTCAATAGAAATAACTATTAGAAAAAGATATCAGATGAGCATGTCTTGATTTACCTTGAAAGTGACAAAGAGAAGGAACATATACGACATGTTTAATTGAAATCTCTACCAGTAATTTCCTGAAAATAAAGCATGAAAAAGCTTTAATGTAACGTACCATCAATTAATGCATAAATCAGTCATTATGGAACCATGATAAACCGCAAAGTAAGTTAGTGTCTAGAAAGCTACTCAATTGGGGCAAGTACATGGTTGTGGGCTTCAAAGTTTTAACTAACAATTACAAGATATGGGGCAAAGCAGGCTAGTAAGATAAAACATGTGTGACCACAACAGGCCAGAGTCCGGACTACAAATTGCAAGTTGTCAAAGTGTTCAACATGTGGACCTTTACCCCAAAAAACACTCTGTGTGGGCCCCACTTTTTTAATTAAGTGACGGTCATTAGAATAAAAAAATGCTTATCATTTTTGTATTTCTTTTGGCCCCGTTCTTAATTCTCTCTTCCATATATATATATGTATATTTTTTTTTGCAAAAAATTGACTACAGGTAAAAAAAAAATTAAAAAAAGTTACTGCAATTTCATTTTTTTTCTACGGGAAATTTAATATTTAACTTTTTTTTTTCTTATGCAATTTTGAAAGTAGAAGTGGGTTTGCAGTCATTAAAGTGCATCAAACTTGGATACCCAAAAAAAAAAAGTGCATCAAACTTCAAAGTTAACCACTTTTTAACGTATGTTATCAAAGCAAAGAACAGAAAAGGTGTAATCATACTTTCGTCAAATAATTGACCTATTCATGTGACACTAATATAGTTGTCCACCAAAATCATGACAAATAGTTCCATTAAATATGCTCTTCAAACTGTCTTGGAAGAGCATTTGTACGCTAATATTTGTATCCAACAAAAATAAAAAATTATAATATTAATATAATCACAATAAAAAGGTCGGTGATACTAAAGTTAAAAAAAAAATTAAAAATGGGAGAATCAATCCAAATCATGTACTAAGACTACAACTAACAAATGTTTAAGTGGGCCAACTAATAGAAAGTCATTCTCACCGTCTAAGTTTAAAAACAATTTTAATGGGCAAAAATATTGTCCGGCCACTCTCAATCAATCTAAGGAGAAACCATCAACTAACAAATGTTTCCAGTGGGCCAAATATTTAAAGAATAAAGTAACTAAACAACATGAAGGTCGTTTTCCATATGAAAATCTTTTCTTGTATTTTGTTTAAGGAAATATTATTTTTTATATTATATAAGACAATTTATCTCATATAACATATAAAAAATAAATAAGATCTATTTATTTTTCTTCTTCCTTTTTTTGGTAGTAAGTTCCATCCATTTTCTTGTGTCGTATAAGACAATTTATCTCATACAAATAAGAAACAATAGGCTCTTTTGTTTAAATAGAAATACATGAAAACAAAAAAATAAAATAAAAGAGCAATATATTAGTAAAACATTAGATTTGACAACTAGTCCATGTACAAAGGCAAAGTTTGAAATTTTTCCATAGTAAAGTAGGTATTAGTCGACTCTGACTCGGATGACAGTGACAGAAGCTAGAAAAAGTTAGCAGTTTAAGTCTACATTACCGGTCTAACTACTTTATCATTTTGGCTTCACTCAACTGCCACTCCACCCACAGTCTCATTCCAACTGAAACAGCTTCCTTTTCCTTTTCCTTGACCAATCCAATCAAACTCTAATTTAGCTAGACAGTAATTAGATTCGCTATCTATTGCTAGTGGGTTTCATTATGAAATTGGCGGTGACAGCAACAGGATTCCTTTGGGTTCAGGAGAACTCTAAGAAAAGGACTTGCTATATCATATGTTGAATACGCATATATAATAAATTTGGAGAGGTATATTCAAGGTTGTATTGAATTAGTTGCTAAGATATAATTTGTCTCCACACAACGTGCTCTACATTCACGTGGCATGAGCTCAGACAAAACTAATTTATTATATTCTTCATGCAATATTCATGAAAGTTTTCTGTAAGAGTTTGTACTCTGATTTGCAGGTGTTCAATCAGGATATCGATATTCCCTGATCTTTAAGATAAGAATTTTAATATCTCATTAAACCCCTATAAATTAAGAATTTGCACAAATTCTGCACCAATTGCATGAAAAGTATAATAAATAAACATTGCATTGATTTATGCCAACACCTAAACTCCAGAACAAAGATACTAATTATCTAACCAAATAATATATCTAAAATGAAGTGTCTAATTAAAGCCCCGATGTGGTTATTGCAATTACGTGGAACTGAAAACAACGAACATCATACTATTAGTCTGGTTATAAAAAATACAGAACCATAATCCAGCCTTACTTAAAAAGATATTAGCTAGCTAAATGGCTTCACTAAAGTACGGAGGTTATATATATAAAAGAATACATGAGGAAATGCTAGCTGCCAAATGAAGCTCAGCAAATATGTGCTGTACTTCAAGTGCACACTATACATAATACGGTGAAAACAAATTCTTGAAGAAAAATATTCCTTTTGATCAACGTAGATCATATTAGTGTAAAATGATTTCCATTGAAAGAATATATAGGTTTTACCTGCCATTGAATAAACAACCCTTTAGCTTTACTCAAAATTGATAAATAGATTAGATATAAATGGAAAATTGACTTTTATTTATCAGAAAAATAATCAAAACAATAAAATTTTACTAGGACAAGTTACCCTTTAAAATTAAATATAAAGTTGAAACTTGAACCAGTTAAAGCACTATCTAACCATGCATGTGTAGATAGCTTATTAAACATCCATTCATTCAGTGTAGTATTTCAATTCTGTGGGTCTATCTTCATTATTTTCTTTATTTCTTTCTTATATATCAGAGATGACTTGTAGCCATGGATCTCAGAATAAACAAAACAGGCTGCTCTGTTTTTTTCTCTAAGGAAAAGTGACAAATCAAGGCAAGTTGATGAACCACAAGTTCATGAACAACCTAACTAAAAAAGAAATATCAGAAACGAACAATGAGACAAGTGCCACGCATCAAGAATACACGTGTACTCTATTATGAAACAAAAAACTTATACTTTTTATCAATTAAAAAGAAGAAGAAACAAAAGGCCAAGTAGAAAAAAAGGCTCTTGACTTTTGAAGCCGAAAGTACAAACACAAATAAAAACCTAACAAGAAAAGTAATGCATTGGATATTAGTTAATTTAATCATACAAGAACAAAGAGATTTCACGTGTCAGTTAACTATACAATCGATGCAGAAAGCTTAAAAACCCGGGAGTTGTAATGTACACCTGTGCAGACATGGGTTGGTCTACCAGGAACCAGACATCCTAATACGACAAACTGGTCAAAGTCTAAAGAAAACTATTTTTTTTAATACTTGAAGAAAACTAGTTTGTATCTAAACTGGAGCACATTTTCAGTGTTAGGTATTCCCTTTCTAGAAATAAAAAAAATATAAAAAGAAATAATTATAAAGATAAAAATAGTATAATTTTTTATTTTTTTTATATTTGATAAAAGATATATCGAATATTCAGTACATCTAATATACGAAAATATTTTCCTAAAGCTGAAGACTAAAACTTCTCTAATAAACAATTTCCTACTAAACAACTTCTTAACTAGTCACCGAGAATACCCTTATATAGTATAAAAAAAGATAAATAAAATACATATGAATAAACAATTTGTTAGGGCCAATAATGTTTCAACCAGACACATTTTGAATTAATAAGCTCTTATTAATTAATTAACATAATTAATTGACAATTAAGTATTCAATGAATCAACGGTGGACTAGTATCAAAAGTAACTAGTGAGCTTCTAGAATGTGAGTTGCATGCAGCATGCAGGTTTTGAAGTTTGAAACGGCAAATATGTGATATATAATTCAAGGTCAATTATTCACGGTCAATGTTTGTCTTTGTTACAAATAAGAACTCATGTTATTTTGGTAAGGTCAAGAAAACTTTGTCACTAATTCTGTTTTGTAAAGGTTTCAATTTATTAAGTATCAAGAAACATAAAGAACTCAGAAGCCTAAATAACTATTAATTAAAAGAGTGCATAGTGGCTTTTGTACAATTAAAAGATCGTGTCTAATTTCTGTGTGAAATATGCAATCAGCAGTGAGTTTAAGTGCTGCATTATTCTATAAAAGAGCATATTCTCTTTTTGTTCTCTTTAATTCATTCTTCTGTTAAATAAAGAAAATATGTCTTGATGTAATGGTTATTCTGGTGTTTTAAAACCCGACTTCACAGCAGCCGAGTCGACCCAGGTTTTAGTAACCCAGTGCCCTCACCAATTCAAATTGGGCATCAGATCGGTTATGTACTCTAATTGGTTGATTCGGATTAAACTGGGTTCAACCAATGTTGAACTGGATCGAAAACTGAGTTTAACCATTTTTATGTTATATTGTATAAAGGGTTAAGTGTTTGTCGTTTAAAATGACACAACTTTGTGTCATTTTTAATGAAATTACGTCGTTTTAATACGTTTTTTATATTTTTTTACATTTTTCCTTTTTTATAAAATTAGGAGGGGGGAAATGGAGAAGAGATAATACAAAAACACACCAAAACAACATAGTTTCATTAAAAATGACACAAAATTGTGTCATTTAAAATGACAAATTTTTTTCTTATTGTGTAAAATATATATATTTTGAAAGCAACAGAATTCAAACTTGAGTTACCTTTTTTGAGGATCGGAATCACTAACCACTTTTATTTATTGGACATAATATTTATAATTTATTTATTATATTATTTTAAAATCTATTTGACCCGATTAAACTAATAATTTAATACCTTAACCGAATATTTATAATTTATTTATTATATTATTTTAAAATCTATTTGACCCGATTAAACTAATAATTTAATACCTTAACCGAATAGATGATTGGTCCGAATTTTAAAACACTAATTATTCAAAGTTTTGTACTGTGCTATATATGGACAACAAGATCTAGTGTTTAAAATTTTATAGGTTCTGAACTGAAATCTTTTATTCTAATATATAGATTCAATTAAACCGACAGCTGCAACAGCACACAGAG